GAGCCCGACGCGGGGCTCGAACCCACGAACCGCGAGATCATGACCTAAGCGAAAGTCGGACGCTTAACCGACTAAGCCACCCAGGCGCCCCTAACCTAGAGTTACTCTTAACTTTTGCTGAGGGTATGTTCTGAATGAACATTTTTGCCTGTTTTAGGTACTGAGCTATACTTGAAGTTTTCAAGTGTGATTTTTCTGTTTTTTTGTTTTTTTTTTTCTTTCTTCTTCTTCTTAGTCTGATCTCAAGTGTGTCCAGGATGCCAAAGGAGGTTCTTTCTACAGAGATCACTGCCCTGTGCTAGGTGAGTCAGCAGACTAGAGAAAATTACTAACTAGTGGGTCAGGGTTCATGGAATCAGAAAATCTTTAAATGGGACTTTAAAAAAAAGTTATTTAAGGAGATACTTTTTGAGTTTTATTTTTTAAACCATTTGTTCTTTTTTATTAATTTATTTAGACTGATAAAGTTGTCATGTCTTGAAAATCGATATACCATTTATGTGTCATATTTGAAAGTTTATCTTTTAGTTGTAAACATATTGTTGAGAAATTTTGTGTTAGATTATCAGTATGTCTTACATATTGAGAATAGAATCTGACAATTTAATGCTTATAAATTCCTTATACGTTTTATAAAGTTGCCTTTTTATTTTTTAATTTTTTTAAATGTTTATTTAGTTTTGAGAGAGAGAGAGAGACAGTGTGTGAGTGGGGGAGGGTCAGAGAGAGAGGTCGATACAGAATCCGAAGCAGGCTCCAGGCTCTGAGCTGTCCGCACAGAGCCCTATACAGGGCTCGAACCCATGAACTGAGAGATCATGACCTGAGCTGAAGTCGGCCGCTTAACCGACTGAGCCACCCAGGTGCCCCTAAAATTGCCTTTTTTTAAAAAAAGTTTTATTTATTTGAGGGTGGGATAGGGCAGGAGAGAGAGAGAGAGAGAGAGAGCGCGTGCGCAGAGAGAGAGAGAGAGCGCGCGCATATCCCAAGCAGGCTCCAAGCTGTCAGCATGGAGCCAGACTTGGGCCTCTAATCCATGAACCATGAGATCTTGACCTGAGCTAAAACCAAGAGTCTGGTGCTAAACTGACTGAGCCACCCAAATTCCCCTAAAATTGCCTTCTTAGTACAAAAATTGTTTGAAGATTAAGGTTATATAATAAATATAATTTTTCATGTGTCATTAAAGGATGAGGAAAGCAAAACTATCTTCATATTATAGATTCTATATTGTTGCCACAATAAACATTTGCCACATTCTTCTGATTAAGGCTTTAGTCGGTGAATGCCTGCCTTTTCATGTGAACTCTGTGTTCCTTTTTTAAGATCATTTGATTTCCCTTCTGGCCAAAAAGGCTGTTTTTTCTTTTTCTTTTTCTTTTTTTTTTTTGTAGCATACACTGATTTTCTTTTTTTTTTAAGGAATGTAGAAATTTATATTTTGACAAGATCATTCCTTTTTCATGTTTGAGAAACTTTCTTTTGTGTCTTGCTTTCACAAGAGAAGTGTAAAATCAACATATATTTTGGATCCCTCATCATAGTGTTTTATTTATTTCATTGATTTTTAAATGTTTGTTTATTTTTGTGATTAATTTATGTAAATTGGAGAATTTACAATTAATAATAAATTAATGTTTTATTTTGTGATAGAGACACAAAAACTGTGAGCGAGGGAGGGGCAGAGAGAGAGAGGGGGGATACACAATCCGAAGCAGGCTCCAGGGTCTGAGTTGTCAGCACAGAGACCAGTGCGGGGCTCGAACCCACGAACTGTGAGATCATGACCTGAGCCGAAGTCAGACACTTAACTGACTGAGCCACCCAGGTGTTTGCATCATAGTGTTTTATGATCATGAATCCTTTATCTCAGAACTAGGTTTTTTTTTTATTTTAAAATTTATTTATTTTGAGAGAGAGTGAGCAAGCAGGGAAGGGGCAGAGAGAGGGAGAGAGACAGAATCCCAAGCAGGCTCCACACTGTCAGTGTGCAAAGCCAAATGAGGGGTGGGAACCCATGAATCTGTGAGATCATGACCTGATCCGAAATCAAGAGTTGGACACTTAACCAACTGAGCAAGGCACCCAGGCATCCCTATCCCAGAACTAGCTTTAAGAATAATGTAGGGAATGGGCTTTTGAATATTTAAAGATGCTCCTTAGGAAAAAAAAAATCAAAAAGGCCATTTGGTAAAAAATAGTACTAAGCACTTAAAAGAAGAAAATAATTTTAAGGTTCTCTTTCATATGCTCTAGCTAGTTATGGTGGCTGTAGTTAGTTATTGGACCTCAATAACTCTAATTGTAGTTATTACAGGGATCATCAACAAGTCATCCAGGCAGAAAAATGAATGTTTTAAAAACCCAGAAATTTGTACTTTGATACAGGGTTATTGTTCAGTTGTTGTTATAAATCATCACATTATTTCAATTAGTGAGTCTGATTGTTTTTTTTTTTTCTTATTTTTGAAGCTCTCTAGGTCCAGAATCTGATACTTACAGTATATTCTCAAAACATTTTAAGATTAGATGGTAGCTAGAACTAAAATATCTAGAGCTTGTTCTTGTTTAAAAATAATATAGTTGCATGCTGTTGTGATGGTTTTCTTTTACCTTTGTCAACTCCTTCTGCAATTACAGGTGAGCAGAATGGTAACAGGAATCCTGGTGGATTGCAGATTGGTGACCTGGTGAATATAGATCTTGACCTAGAAATTGTACAGTCTTTGCAGCATGGTCATGGAGGATGGACTGATGGCATGTTTGAGACTTTAACTACAACCGGAACTGTTTGTGGCATTGATGAAGATCATGACATTGTAGTACAGTATCCAAGTGGCAATAGGTTGGTGATATTTCTCAATTTTTAGTAATGGCAAATAAAGTTGGTATATGGAAGAAAGAGCCTTAGAGAAAGCAAATTATGTGCTATAATCTAAGACTCCTTTAAGCCTGCTCTTAGTACATAAACATCTAGAATATGTCAGTAAAGTGGAGTGGAATAAATGATAAATGTGTGTGTGGTATGTATGTGAATTTATATGAATATATTTATGATACAGTACTCTTTTTTTCTGGAAGAGGAGAATATATTGTGTTGGTATTAGGTCAAATATAGCTAAAACGTTCTTTGTTCATAATGGACCATATCAGTTTTCCCTGAAGGAGAGTAAAATTAGAACTCTGGCCCATATCTCCAGCGTCATCTCTTGGTAACATAGCGTTTTCTTGCCACAGACGTGTGCATACATCGGTCCTTATTAGCAACATAGAATTACATCCCTTTCTTCACTCTGTACCTTTGCACATACCACTTCCTCCATGCAGAATACTCTTTCCTCCTTTTCTCCCTCTTTTCCTGGATTTATTCCTGCATCCTGTAAATACTAAGCTTATGTGTTTTGGGAACCTCCTCTAAGTCCACAGTCCTGGCATATGCACAGGCTATTCATCTGTGTAGGTCTCCTGTTATATATGAAAATATTTACTTTACATCTAGGTTGCAAGTTTCTTGGAGCCTTTTGTTTATTTGCTCTTAAGGGCTAACATATATTCAGTTTACTGATATGTTTATAGTATTTTATTTTTTTAAAGTATTTATATTTTATTTTACAAAGAGAGAGAGAATGTGCATGAGCAGGGGAGAGGTCAGAGGGAGACAGAGAGACAGAGCAGGGTAAGGGCAGAGGAAGGGAGAGAGAGAATCCCAAGGAACCCAATGCAGGGCTCCATCCCACGACCCTGGGATCATGACCTGAGCTGAAATCAAGAGTTGGATACTCAACCCACCACTGAGTCACTCAGGTGTCCTTGTTTATAGTATTTTAAAGAAAAAGCAGTAGCCAGATTGAATAATTGTCAAAGCTTTATTACTGATATATACATTAAGAAACGAACTCTTTGAGGTTCTTTATGGGAGGGGTTGTATATAGAATGAGGAAAATTAGCGTTAAGTTTTTTACCAGTGTATACAATTAACTCTAATTGTGTTCAAATCTTAAGGATACATGTGATTATATCAGGAGATATAGAAATAGCATTTGACAAAATCCAACTCCATCTCATGGTAAAAACACTAAATAGAGTAGTAACAGAAGAGAACTTCTTCAACATAGTAAAGGGCATCTGTGAAAACCCACAGCCTGGGGTGCCTGGGGTGCCTGGGTGGCTCAGTCAGGTAACCATCTAACTTGATTTTGGCTCAGGTCATGCATGATCTTGTGGTTGGTGAGTTCAAGCCCTGAATTGGGCTCCATGCTGACAGTGCAGAGCCTGCTTAGGATTCTGTCTCTCTCCTTCTCTCTCTGCCCCTCCCCTGCATGCTCTTTCTCTTTCTCTTTGCCCCTTCCCTGCACATGTGCGCTCTCTCTCGCTCTCTCGCTCTCTCTCTCTCTCTCTCTCTCACACACACACACACACACACACACACAAAATGAATAAAATAAACTTAAAGAAAAGAAAACCGACAGCTATCCAATTGGTGAGAGACTGAATACTTTTCCCCTAAGATCAGGAACAAAATAGAAATGTTTGCCCTCCCCACTTTTATTCAGCATTGTTTTAGAGGGTCTAGTTAAGGCAAATTAGGCAAGAAAAAGAAATAAAAGGAAGAAGAGAAAAGGAGTTAAAGCCATTTTTGTTCACAGGTGACATGATCTTGTGTATAGAAAAACCTAAGGAGTCCAGAGAAACCTGTTAGGACTAATAAGCGAGTTCAGTAAAGTTGTGGTATACAAGATCAGTGTAGAAGAGTTAATTGTATTTTTGTGTACTAGCAATGATCCATTTGAAAATGAAATTAAGTTTTAGTTTCATTTACAGTAGCATCACAAAGAATAAAATACCTAAGAATCAATTTAGCCCATGGCCTCGGTGGCTCAGTCGGTTAAGCATCTGACTTCGGCTCAGGTCAGTATCTCAGTTTGCAGGTTTGAACCCTGAGTTGGGCTCTGTGCTGACAGCTCGGAGCCTGGAGCCTGCTTTGGATTCTGTGTGTCCTTCTCTCTCTGCCCCTCCCCCACTTGTGCTCTGTTTCTCAAATAAATAAATAAATGTAAAACAACAACAACAACAAAAAAGCATCAGTTTAGCCCAAGAAGTGCAAACTTGGGGAGCCTAGCTGGCTCAGTTGGTAGAGCATGCAACTCTTGATCTCAGGGTCATGAGTTTGAGGCCCATATTGGATGTAGAGATTACTTTAAAAAAAAAAAAAGAAGTGCAAGAATTATACACTGAAAACTCTAAGATATTGTTGAAGCAAATTAAGGAAGCCCAAAATAAATGGAAAGTATCTTATATTTATGGACCAGAAGATCTGATAATTGTTCAGATTGTGTATTAGTTTCCTAGGGCTGCCATAACAAATTACTACAAACCGGTGGCTTAAACAATGGCACTTTATTCTTTCACAGTTTTGGAAAGCTAGAAGTCCAGAGTCAAGGTGTTGGGGAGATTGGTTTCTTGTGGAGGCTCTGAGGAAGAATCTAGAATTTGTTCTATGCTTCTCTTAACTTCCAGTGGTAGTTGGCAATTTTTGGTGTTCCTTGGCATCATTCATTTTTCTGCCTCTGTGTTTTCACATGGCCTTCTCCTCTGTGAGTCTGTGTGTCCCTGTGTCCTCATGTTACCTCCTTTTGTTGGGGGAGGGGTTCACATTTTATTTTTAAATGCATTCAAATCAACCATTTGAGACTGGGAACTATATAATCAGTCCCCCAGCCCACTAATTTATTTTGGTCAAGCCAGTATTTGTAGCTTAACCATCTGTGAGGAAAGAACCCTGAGGAAACATAGACATAAGTTAATTGAGCTCATGGGAATTTTAAAATCTTTTACAGAGGGAAAAAAAAAAGCTGATTTCACATGACCTTCTTTAAAAAAATTTTTTTTATGTCTTTATTTTTGAGAGAGAGAGAGAGAGAGAGAGAGAGAGAGACAGAGCATGAGTGGGGGAGGAGCAGAGAGAGAGGGAGACACAGAATCTGAAGCAGGCTCCAGGCTCTGAGTTGTTAGCACAGAGCCTGATGCGGGGTTGAACCCATGAACCGTGAGATCATGACCAGAGCCAAAGTTGGACTCTCAGCTGACTGAGCCTCCCAGGCACACTCACATGACCTTCTTTTAAGGACACTAATCATTGAATTTAGGGCCCACCCTAATCCAGTATGACTTCATTTTAACTTGATTAAATATGCAAAGACCCTGTTTCTAAATATGGTCACATTCAGAGGTATTGGGGATTAGGAATTCAAGATATTTTTTGGATGACATAATTCAGCCTGTAACAGATGGAGTTCTCACCAAACTAATCAACAAATTTAATGCAATCTGTATCAAAACTCTAGTGCCTTTTTTATAGAAATTGACAGTCTAATTATATAGTTCACATGGAAATTCACATAACCCAAAATAGCCAAAACAATTTTAAAAAGAAAAACAACATTCTAGGACTTACACTTCCTAATTTCAAAATTTATGATAAAGGTGTAATAATCAAGACAGCCTATTGTTGACATAAGATGGACATATAGATCAGTGGAACAGAATTGGGAGTCTGAGAATAAGGCCCTGCATTTAAAGTCATTTGAATTTTGACAAGGGTTCAACGCAATTCAATGAATACTGGAAAGAATAGTCTTTTCAGTAAATGATGCTGAATATATATAGGCATACCTTGGAGATATTGTAGGTTTGATTCCAGACCTCTGTTATAAGGCGAGTCAAATGAAGTTTTGGTTTCTCATTGTGTGTAAAAGTTATGTTTTTACGATACTATAGTCTATTAAATGTGCAGTTATACCGTAAATATTGTTAAAAAATGCTAACTATAATCTGAGCTCTTTGCAAGTTGTAAACTTTTTATTGCCGACATTAATGTTGATGGCTGCTGCCTGATCAGGGTGGTGGTTGCTAAAAGTTGGGGTGGCTGTGGCAATTTCTGAAGACAGCGGTGATTTTTGCTGCATTGATTGACTCTTCCTTTCATGAATGACTTCTCTGTGGCATGCAGTGCTTGTTTGATAGCGTTTTACCCACAGTAGAACTTCTTTCAGGATTGGGAGTCACTCTTCTCACAACCTGCCTCTGCTCTATCAACTAAGTTTATGTGATATTCTAAATCATCTGTTTTCACTTCAATAGTCTTCACACTATCTTCACCTGGAATTAATTCCTTCTCAAGAAACCACTTTCTTTGTTCATCCGTAAGAAGCAACTCTTCATCTATTAAAGTTTTATCATGGGATTATGTAATTCAGTTACATCTTTAGTCTTTACTCCTAATTCTAGTCCGCTCCTAATTCTACTAAGAGATCAAAAGACCTCTTCCCATAAATCACAAATGTTCTTAATGGCATCTGGAATGGTGAATCCATTCCCAAAGGTTTTCATTTTACTTTTCCTAGGTCCATTGAAGGCATCACTATCTATGGTAGATAATAAATAACTTTAAGAAAATATATTATTTATTTATCACTTATTTATTTTTTTGAGAGAGTGAGTGTGGGTGGGGAAGGTCAGGAGGGAGAATCTTAAGCAGGCACCATGCCCAGTGTGGAACCTAGTGTGGGGCTCAATCTCACAATTGTGAGATCATGACCTGAGCCAAAGTTGGATGCTTAACCACTGAGCTACCCAGGTGTCCTGATGAAATGTATTTTTAAATCATAAGACTTAAAAGTCAGAATTATTCCTTGATCCATGGGCTACAAAATGGCTGTTGTTTTAGCAGTCATGAAAACTACATCTATCTTATTTTACATCTCCATCAGATCTCTTGGATGACCATATGCAGTGTCAGTAAGCAGTAATATTTTGAAAGGAGTCTTTCTCAGATTGGTAGTTCTCAAAAGTGGCCTTAAAATATTCAGTAAACCATGTTGTAAACAGACATGCTGTCCTCCAGGCTTTGTTGTTCCACTTGAAGAGCACAGGCAGAGTAGATTTAGCATTATTCTGAAGGGCCCTAGGACTTTTAGAATGGTAAATAAGCATTGGCTTCCACTTAATGTCATCAGCTGCAGTAGGTCCTAACAAGAAGGTCAGCCTGTTCTTAAAAAGCTTTGAAGCTGGGTGTTGACTTCTCTCTGGCTATGAAAAGTCTGGATAGCATCTTTTTCCAATAGAGGGCTCTTTTGTCTATATTGAAAATCTGTTTAGTGTAGTCACCTTCAGTAACGGTCTTACCAAGGTCTTCTGGATAATTTGCTGCAGTTTCAACAATAGTACTTGCTGCTTCACCTTGCACTTAATGTTATGGAGTTGCTTCTTTTCTTAAACCTCAAGAACCACCCTCTGCTAGCTTCACTCTTTTCTTCTGCAACTTCCTCACCTCTCTCGACCTTCATAGAATTGAAGAGTCAGGGCTTTGTTTAGAATTAGGCTTCAGCTTAAGGGAATGTTGTGGCTGGTTTGATCTTCTATCCAAATTTTCTCCATATCAGCAGTATGGTAGTTATACTTCCTTATCATTTGTGTGTACGCTGGGTTAGCACCTTTAATTTCTGTCAAGAACGTTTCATTTATGTTCACAATTAGGCTAACTGGTGAAAAAAACCTTGCTTTCAGCGTATCTAGGCTTTTGACATGCCTTTCTTTTCACTAAGGGGAGTCATTTCTAACTTTTGATTTAAAGTGAGACGTGCAACTCTTCATTTCACTTGAAAACTTAGAGGTTATTGTAGGGTAATTAACTGGCCTAATTTCAATATTGCTGTGTCTCAGGGAATAGGGAGGCCCAAAGAGTGAGAGAGAGAGATAGTGAACGACTGGTCTTTGTAGCAGTCCGAACACATACGTTTATAGATTAAGTTCTCTGCCTTATGTGGGTTTGGTTTGTGGCTCCTCACGTCATTTGCAATAGTAACATCAAAGATCACTGATCACAACAAAAAACAAACCAACCAAAGACAAAGGTCACTGATCACAGATCATCAACAAATATAATGAAAAAGTTTGAAATACTGTGAGAATTACCAAAATGTGATAGAGAGATAGATAGGAAGTAAGCAGATGCTGTTAGAAAAATGGCACCAATAGACTTGGTCAACACGAGGTTGCCACAAACCTTTAATTTGTAAAAAAACACTGTATCTGTGAAGTGCGGTATAATGAGGTATACTCATACAAACATCTAATCATTATGTTGTACACCTTAAGCTAACCTAATGTTATATTTCAGTTATACCTCAAATAAATAAAGCTGCAGTGAGAAGAATCTTTGGTGAGTCAACTAGTTATTAACATGAAAAGAAGGAAATTGGACCCCAGGTACACACCATGTAGAAATATTAAGTGAAAAATAGATCACAGACCTAATGTAAGAGTTAAAACTATAAACCTCTTGGAACAAAATATAAGTCTGCGTGACCTTGGATTAGACAGTGGTTTCTTACATACAACCCCCAAGGCAGAAGAATCAAAGAAGTAGTGAATAAACTGGACATCATCAAAATTAAAAAATTTGTGTTTTGTAGGAAACTTTGGGAGGAAGTGTTTGCAAATCATATATTCTATCATGTATCATATATATCATATATATATTCTAGATACAATATATCATATATTCTACATACAATTTGGGACTTGTATCTAGAATATATAAAGAACTCATAACTCAATAACAAAAGAAAACTAACCCATTTAAAAAATGGACAAAAGATTTTAATAGACATTTTTCCAAAGCCAATATAGAGGTGACCAGTAAGTGCATTGTGTTTGTCTGCTAGGACTGGATATAACAAAATACCACAGATTGCCTGGCTTAAACAACTGGAATTAATTTTCTTATAGTTCTGGATGCTGAAAGTCCAAGTTCAAGGTTTCATTAGAGTTGGTATCTATTGAGACCACTTCCTGGCTTGTAGTCGGTTGCCTTCTCACTATGTGTTCACATGGCCTTTTCTCTGTGCATGCTCAGAGAAAGACATCTCCTATATCTATTCATTTTCCTATGAAGACATCAGTCTTGGTGGATTACCATGTCACCTTTATGACCTCACTTATTTTTAATTATTTCCTTAAAGGCTCTATCTCCAAATACAGTTACAGTAGAAGCTATGAATTAACACCCATGAAAAGATGCTCAACATTAGTTCCTATGGAAATGTAATTCAAAATCACAATGAAGTATCACATACTAGAATAAAATAGTATATAATTACTAGTGTTGGTGAGGGGGTGGGAGAAATTAGAACCAAACCTCATTCACTAATAATAGGAATGTGAAGTGGTCTTGATGCTTGGTCTTGATGCTTTGGAAAATATAGAGTTAGCATATGACCCAACTGATCCACTCTTAGATTTATACTTAAAAGAATTGAAAACATGTCCACACAAAAACCTTTACATGAATGCTTGTGGAAGCATTTTTCATAACAGCCAAAATGTGAAACATCCTAAATGCCTATCATCTGATGAATGGATAAACAAAATATGATGTATCCATACAGTGGAATCTTATTGAGCCATAAAAGGGAACGGAATACTTACATATGGTGCAACATAGGTAAATCTTCAAAATATTATGCTCAGTGAAAGAAGCCAGTCACAAAAGGTCACATATTATGTGATTTCTGTAAAATATCCAGAATAACCAAATATGTAGAAACAAAGTATATTACTAATTATTAAGAGCCAGGGTGAGGGGCAAACATGGATCAACTGCTAATTGTTATGGAATATCTTTCTTGGTGATGAAAATGAAATTAGTGTTTGGTTGTCCAAGGGTGTGAATGTACTAAAACCACCTAATTATACACTTTAAAAGAGTGAACTGTTTGTAATGGGAATTTTATGTGAATAAGAAGAGCAGGAGGAAATCTTAACACAACTTAAGTTCAGATTAGTATATACTAACATTTAGTGTCACTTTACTGACATTTTGTGTTCTCGTTTGTTGTTTGAAAATATTAAGACGAATTGGGATTATTACTTGCTGAATTCTTTCTTGGTCAGAACTTGGGCAGTAGTGTTAACAGTAACATGACATCTGGATTCTAGAAAATAACCTTTTTTTTCTGTACTTTTTTCAACAAGAATTTATTACGTACTTTTCCTATGTTAGCCCTGTGATTAGTCCTGGGATTACAAAGACAATTAAGACATGATCCCTTGCTTTGAATGGTTTTCCCTTTTAGTTTGGATAGATAAAACCAGAAATAACTGCATTAAAATGTTTTAATTGTGGTAGGTGAGTATTCAGGGTATTCTGAAGGTACAAAAAAAGAGTCATTTCAGCCAGGCAAATCAGAGAAAACTTCAGAGAAAAAATTACCTTTGGAATTGTAATCAAATACATACTGTGATTAGGTGGCTTTTTAAGAATCACTAATGAAATACTGACCCTGTATGCAAAAAGATGTACATATGGCAATGTTGTTTATAATATTGTTTGTAATAGTGAAAATTTGGAAATCCTTTAAATGATGGTAGGAGAATGGTTAAATGCATTAGTGTATAACCATGTAATGGACTACTGTAGTCACTGAATTGAAATAAATAGGTCTATATCTGTAACATTGAAAATAAATTTTCCATGGTACATTCTCTGAGAAAAAAGAAGTCCTGAAATTTTATATATGCGTGTGTGTGTGTGCGTGTGTGTATGTATACAAAATCTATTTATGAAAAAGGAAACAACTCTCTATGTTATAAGTATCATTGCACTAATAGAAGATCATAAGGATATACAGTGGAGTGTTTGTGTCCCAGTTTCATTAGACTTTTTTAATTGAAGTATAATTGACACCACAATGAGTGTTTGCAGTGGTTTGTAGTGGGATAGGGAATGGTGATCCAGGTGTGTCTGTGTGAAATGGAAATTTCACTTTTACTTTATATGTTTCTGAAAGGTTTTAGTATTTAACAGTAGTGTATTTTATAACCATTTTTATAACATGCCAGGGAAAACTAGAGAGAAGTATCATATTAGGGTGGTGAGATTATAGGTAAGTCTTTTCTTAAATGTGCATAATTATAAAAGGAAATACAAATCATTCAGGACATAATTGCAAAGGATTGCTTTACTCTGCTCATGTGTTAGGAAATTTTTTTGCCCTTCAATGTTTAACTAAGAATTTTGTATTAAAATTAAGTACAGTTACCTATTTTGAGTTTTGGCTTTGATTTTTAGGTGGACCTTCAATCCTGCTGTTCTCACTAAAGCAAACATTGTCCGTAGTGGGGATGCTGCTCAAGGTGCAGAAGGAGGCACCTCACAGTTTCAAGTGGGTGATCTTGTACAAGTTTGTTATGATCTGGAAAGAATCAAACTTCTACAGAGAGGACATGGAGAATGGGCTGAAGCTATGCTCCCAGTAAGTATATCTAAAATAGTTTCAGACTAGGAATAATAAAGACTAGAAATTATATTATGGTTATGTAGTTTTTTTTTTTTTTAATGTTTTATTTATTTCTAGGAGAGAGAGAGAGAGAGACAGCGTGAGCAGGGGAGGGTCAGAGAGAGAGGGAGTCACAGACTCTGAAACAGGCTCCAGGCTCTGAGCTGGCAGTCAGCACAGAGCCTGACGCGGGGCTCGAACCCACGAACCGCGAGATCATGACCTAAGCGAAAGTCGGACGCTTAACTGACCAAGCCACCCAGGCGCCCCTATGGTTATGTAGTTTTAAAAAATATTTTAATTTTGGAAACTAAATTAGCATAATCCTTCAAGAATTGTACTTGGGGCACCTGGGTGGCTCAAGCAGCTTAAGTGTCTGACTTCAGCTCAGGTCATGATCTTGTGGTTTGTGAGTTGGAACCCTGCATGGGGCTCTGTGCTGACAGCTCAGAGCCTGGAGCGTGCTTCAGATTTTGTGTCTTCCTTCCTCCATCCCTTCCTCAGTAACACTCCGTGTCTCTCTCTCTTCCTTGGCTGCTAGGCATACTTAAGTCTTACATTGTCTAATTTGTTCCACTTAAATTAGCCCAGGAAGGTCCATATAGGGCTACCGTTAGTATTTTTTGAAAGAACTGTTAGTGGAGAATGTAATGTAGGTGGAAGGCAACGGGGACTTTTCCTGATACTTATTCCCAAAATGAGAGAGAGATGCTCATTGAGTTACTAGCAGTGCTAGACCACTGCTGCTTCCCTCAGTTGGGGGCCTGCCTCTCTAAAACTTTGAGTGGGGAACAACTCTGAATGTATGCCTTCTGAGCTGGCTTTGATCCCAAAGAGTTATGGTATAATTTTTAATTTATTCATTCAACACATTTTTCACCAAATGTTCAGGAACAACAGAAAAATTTGTTTGTTCTGCCTCTTTGCATCCATCCTCTTTCTCCATTTATCCCTTGCTCTTTCCTTCTGTCCCTTGCTTCTGTACTACTACCCATCTGTCCTGTTGTCCCCTAGACTTTCTTGCCCTGTGTCCATTTCCTTCCATTTTGCTGTGTCCCCCTATTTAGCCCTCCACTTTGCTACCCCTACTCTTTTCTCATCAGTCACAAAACTTGTCCTCTCCTGTTCCTCTTCCCCCAGTCCCATCCCATTCAGTGCTTCCTTCCTATCCCATGAATCACCCCTCTTATCTCTTCTTCATGTCTCATCCCCATACCCTGCTGTGTTGTCTAGTGCTCTGTCCTGGCCAGCACCATCTTCTATCTCATCTAGCCCTCTGCCTCCTCCCATCTTGTCCAGTACCCCCTCTCATCCTGTCCAGTATGCCTTCCTCGTTCTTCATGTTGTGCTGTGCCTCCATCAGTACATCCTTCCTTCCTGCCTTGCTCCCTCAGCAGATACTTTAGCACAAACAATGTACCTATTAGGCTTTAAAGATTTAATAGTGAACAAAACAAAAAGAAATCTATTGTTATGGTGCTTTCATTGGAGACATTTCATAGTTTGCAGATGCTGCTGACAGTATTTTTTATTGTTTTAGTTAGGTAGTGACTAAGTGATAGTTGTCTGTCTTAGACAACAGCAGGGGCTGTATTTTAGAATATTTTTGTCAAAAAAGTTAAGTTCTATGTGACCCTTTTTTTGTTTCCTTCTTTTAAAAGTTTATTTTTAGAGAGAGAGAGTGCATGTGCACATACACTAGTGGAGGAGGGGCGGAGAGAGAGGGAAACAGAGAATCCCAAGCAGGCTCCATGCTCAGCAAGGGGCCCGATGCAAGTCTTGATCTCACAACTGTGAGATCATGACCTGAGCTGAAATCAAGAGTTGGCTGCCCAACTGACTGACCTACCCATGTGCCCTTTGTTTGCTTTTGATATTAACGTTGGTTAAAAAATATGTTGATGTACTTTAAGCCTCACTATAGTGTAATGTTAGTTAAGTGGAATCTTTTGACGTGTTTTATACAAGAAACATATATATATATATTATTTAAGATTTTTTTTATAGTCAAGACGTTTTTGTTTTTCCCCTTAGCAGTGACAGCTTATATATAGCAGTGTACATCTTTTGAATGCCCAGTTATTCTAAGTACTGTGCTAAATGATATATATATACATATGTGCACACACACAAACATATACACAAACTTTGTCTTAGGAATATTATAAGCAAATAATGGTCTGGCATCCTTATTTTAAAGATGAAGAATCAGAGCTAAGATTCTGAACTGAAGTTTGAACCCAAATCTCTTTTACTTCAAAGCCTAAAAGTGCTCTATCTCCCATAGTAAGCTTTTATATAAACAAAACCTGTAGGTTATATCTAGAGGGGAATTCTTGGATTCCAGTGGTGATGATGTAGAATTTTAATTTTCCTAAATCATGTTGATAAAAATAGTCAACAACTAGAGTAGCCTATTGAACCCTAAAATATGAATGAGTAGTGAGAAAACACTGACAGCTATTGGGTCTGCACCTTTCTGTCTGGCAGCAGAGAGAAGTAATGGGGATTGGATGGACCTGAGAACAGGGGAGCTCCAATATAGCTAACAGGTATTCATTGGCTAGTGTAGTTAGTACTAATGTGGAAACAATAGCTAAACCTGGGAGGGCTCTTGCAGACCTCATTTTGGAGTGATGGTAATAAATTCCATGCTAAGATTTTAAGGGGCTTGAGCAACCTGTGTCTATAAACTTTCAAAATGAATCAGCCAGAGCTCCCTTTCTGGTCAGAGCCATCCATTAAGGAGAAAGTGCTGGGAATAGAAACTAAATTTAGTAGGATAGAGACAGTAGGGACAGAGGTAAGGTAAAAGTTAGATCATAATCAAATCCCCATACACAATTATTGTTGAAAAAAGACAATAAAGAATAACTTCTCTACAGACAAATGAAAGTACATAGAAATATATGCACAGAAAGTTAAAGTCTAGTGATTCAAAATGAGCTAACAGAAATTAAAATGATGAAAGAATGAAATGAATCATAATTATCTTTAAATTTTTATTTTTTTAAGGAACTTATATACTTCTTAAATGTTTATTGATTTATTTAGAGAGAGAGAAAGAGACAGAGAGACAGAGAGACAGGGTGTGAGCAGGGAAGAGGTGCAGAGAGAGAGAGGAGAGAGGGAGAATCCCAAGCAGGCTCTGTGAGCTGTAAGCATGGAGCCTGAGGCAGGGCTTGATCCCATGAACCATATCATGACCTGAGCTGAAGTCAAGAATCGGACACTTAACTAACTGAGCCACCCAGGTGTTCTGAAATGGATCATAATTAGAAATGAGGTGGTAGAACTTAGGAAAGAATTGAAAAGGAAAAGATAATTGTAGAAATGAAGAGTAAGCTTGATGCAACATATCAAATAAATATAACAGATAATGCCTTAAGAGAAACAGAAGGTAAAAAGGAAGAAAAAAAATTAAAAAAGGTAAAAAGGATTTCAGGGAAAGTGACAAATATAGACTACCTAATATATGTATATTAAGAGTCCTTGCAAAAAAGGAAAAACAAAAACCAAAGCAATGGACTATAACAACTACTAAAATTTGCAATTCCAGGAAAAATGCCCCTGAATTAAAAGCTTTAAAGCTAAGGGGCGCCTGGGTGGCTTAGTCGGTTAAGCGTCCGACTTTCGCTTAGGTCATGATCTTGCAGTTCGTGGGTTCGAGCCCCGCGTCGGGCTCTGTGCTGACTGCCAGCTCAGAGCCTGGAGCCTGTTTCAGAGTCTGTCACTCCCTCTCTCTCTGACCCTCCCCTGCTCACGCTGTCTCTCTCTCTCTCCCCTAGAAATAAATAAAAATATTAAAAAAAAAAAAAAAAAAAGCTTTAAAGCTAAATATTAAAAGGACACGTTGCATACCTGGGAACACTGAGAACACCAAATGTTGGGCCATATTCTGGTAAATAATTGAATCTTCAAGAAAAGAAAACAATTCTTTGGGTATCTAGGGAAAAAAGTCAAGTTTAACTTACAAAGAAAAGAAAATCAGATTGTTGTTAAGGAAAAAAATCTGATCTCAGTGCTTTATGATCTCAATGAAATAACATTTAAGGTACTCAAGGAATAAAAATGTAAGCTAAGAGTTTTATGCATAACCAAACTGACCTTCAGGTTGCTCTGAACATGTAAGAATTTAGATAATCTTGTTCCCATTAGCCTTTTCTGATTAATCTCCTAAAAAATGTTTCAGACAACCAGTACGACTGGAGAGATATCAACTTAAGGGCTGATAGTGATCATTAAGTGACGGTTAAAGGAAGAGGTAGAGTCTGTATAATGGGTATATGCTCTAACAATACAGATAAAGTATAACTGTCAAAAAAATGGGGTGGGAATGGAGAGAACATATGGAAAGTTTAGCAAGCTATTTGATTGCCTTTTAGTTATTAGGTGGAACTAAATTCTGTTGTTTTAAACTACAGTAAACATACAGTATAATCTTGGTTTTAGGAGTAGAACCCAGTGATTCAGCACTTACATATAACACCCAGTGCTCATCCCAATGAGTACCTTGCTTTTATTTAAAAACTTTTAAAAAATGTTTTTATTTATTTTTGGGAGAGAGAAAGACAGAGCATGAGTAGGGGAGGGTTGAGAGAAGGAGACAGAATCTGAAGCAGGCCCCAGGCTGCTTCAGTACAGAGCCCAATGTGAGGCTAGAACTCACGAACCATGAGATCATGACCTGAGCTGAAGTTGGGTGCTTAACTGATTGAGCCACCCAGGCGCCCCCCAAGTGCCCTCTTTAATGCCCAACACACAAGTAGCCCTTCCCCCCCCCCGGTACCCCCAATTTGTTCTCTGTATTTAAGAGTCTCTTATGGTTTGTTTCCCTCTGTTTTTATCTTATTTTTCCTTCCCTTCCCCTGTGTTCATCTGTTGTTTTCTTAAATTTACACATAAGTAAAATCATATATTTGTCTGTCTGAACCAAAATATTAAGTGAGAAAGAAGGTTAAGAGTAAGAACATGAATGACTGATTTCAATGTTGTACAAACTAGGAAACCAATGGACTCATTCACACCCTCTGTCTCTTTTATTTTTTTTTTTTTTGAAGAGGGAATAACATATATATATGTTATATATTCATATTATTATAAATAAAACTAATTAGGACAATGCAGAATTTGTGTGAAAAAAAGCAAACAGTGGAGGGATTAACCATGAAGTTAAAAAACATGTTTCATATCTAAAAAAAGGAATATGGTATAGGGGAGAAAGGTAGAAGGGAAACATCTTTGAATAATCTTGTTTTATAGATTTTATTTAAAACCAAATATATCTTTTATATGATTATTAAGCAAAATTAAATTCAAAAAGGAAGTTCCTAAAAGTGGAGAATAAAATGAAATAAATGAACCTAAGTGTGTCTCCTGTTGACATAACCATACAGAGAAAAGTACAAGTGATTTTTAAACAGTTATTTGTCTTTATATCTTTTTAGGAAGAATATACACTAAAGAACTGCATGTAAAAAGGAATTTTTAATAATTTTCATTGATCTTGTTGTTTGTGGTAGTGTTAATATTATCCTGAGATTGTTTTATGTGTGATATGACCAAAAAATAAAAAAAAACCCAAAACAAGTAGTTATTTGGTAATTTTAATTCTCTTATCCTCAGTGACCTTGAGAACCAGAATGATCAGAGTAGGAAACAGAGATATGAATGTAACATAGAAAAGGCTAAGTAAAAACCTCGTAGTCTTGAATTTGAATTCGAAGAATGTTTGAACTTATCATTTATCTTGTCTTTAAAACAAAGTAAAGCATCCTCCCCCACTATTTCCTAGCTTTGTCCATGAAAAGACCTAGATAAACACTAACCATTCTAATAACAATAACCAGCCTTAGTGCCCAGATTACAGTCTTGAAAGAACCTTTCCCTCTGTAAAGAACCAGTCTTTGTGGAGAAATGGCTAATTCTAGCTTTTTGGAAGTGAACAAGATGGGCCTCATACCAGATAGAAGGAAGCTATCAAAGATTTCTAGGTCATGTTATGGGTCACCTGGGTGGCTCAGTCAGTTGAGTGTCCAACTTTGGCTCAGGTCATGATCTCGCGGCTCACGAGTTCAAGCCCCATGTCGGGCTCTGTGCTAATAGCTCAGAGCCCTGGAGCCTGCTTTGGACTTTGTGTCTCCTCTCTCTGCCCCTCCCCTGCTCGCATTCTGTCTGTCTGTCTCTCTCAAAAATAAATAAACATTAAAAAAAAAAAGATTTCTAGATCATGTTAAAAGGATCTAGTAGCCAACCTGATGTGTTTCTTACCAAATACAGAGAAAGATGAATTTATTAAATTCTGTCAATTAGCAAAATTCAGACTGTAAGAAACTTTATAGGACAGATGACCCTGTTTCTTCAACAAATCATTGGCAAAGAAAAAATACGTATAAACTTTGAGACTTGATTTACTGAAAAATTTTATCATTTATGAAGCAGTTGGAAATTTGATGATATTTTATGAGTTAATTGATAATTTTAGGAGGGTTGGTAATAGTATTGTACTTTTTTTTTTTTAAGTTTATGTAAGGGTTCCTGGGTGGCTCAGTTGGTTAAGCGTCTGACTTAGGCTCAGGTCATGATCTTGCAGTTCATGGGTTCTAGCCCCACATCAGGTTCTGTGCTGACGGCTCAGAACCTAGAGCCTGTTTTGGATTCTGTGTCTCCCTGTCTCTGCCCCTCTTCCACTTGTGCTCTGTCTCTCTCTGTCTCAAAAATAAATAAACTATAAAAAAAGTTAAAAATAAATAAAAGCTTATGTGATTAATAATACAGGGGGTAACAAATAGGTAGGAGAAAAAAAGATTGGCCATGAGCTAAAAATTGTTAATAATTGTTGATGGGTACATGAGGATTCAATATACTGTTGTCTGCTTATATATGTTTGAGACTTTCCATAATGAGCAGTTAAGAGTCAAAACAAAGAATGCAGCCTCATGGAGTTTAAGATGATAGAAAATTCCAAGAGGAAATGTGTAATGATAAGTTAAAAATTGGTGTGTGTTGGAGGGCAGATAGAAGAATAAATGGGGCTGTAGAATTATATTTTGGAGTCTTTGGAAATAAGGTGTCAGTTGTCAGAGTAGATTACATAAGGAAGAAGATGAAAAAGTAAGGAATAAAATTTGGGGAAGAATGAACAGAGTTAGGGATCTGAAAAAGGACAGGGATCCAGTGAGTGGAGAAAGAGAAAGAATAGGCAGAAAGGTTAGACTGTCATTCAGAAATCAAAGGAATAATTTGAAGAAGCTAGGGTCCAATGCCTTGGAGAGATTAAAGAATAAAGCACTGAGGGGCAGTCTACTCTTTGTTAGGAAGTAGTCAGATATTGTCAGTATTCTTCTTGAGTAATGTTCTAGTGTTGTAATTTACTATTCACTTGTGCTGAAGAGAATAGGTTTTGGACTGGAGTTTGAAATGGGGCTAATAATAGCACTTAACCTTTAGATTTTATGTATTAGATGAGTCAATATGTGTAAAGCTTTTAGAACACTATCTGCCACATGGTAAGAGTTGCTGCTGATTGTGTTCTGAACCCAAATTCCTCTTTCCTCCGTATATTTAATAAGCATGTTATTTCTACCTACTTTTGTCTTGGAATCAGTACTGATTCTCTTTTTGCTTTAAGTAGTTTGTTTTAGAAATCAGGTTTTATTTTTTAAGGCTATATTAATGATGGATTTTAGACTACCTGATTTACAAATTGAATACAAATATCAAAAAGCAAAATTTTGTGAACTTTTTCAAATGATAGACTCTTGTGATTTATTTTTGTTTTTTTATATTATTTTTTAAAAGCTTATTTATTTTGAGAGAGAGAGATAGAGTGCACGTGTGCATGCACAAGTGGTGGAGGGGCAGAGAGAGAGGAAGAGAATCCCACCCAGGCTCCGAGCTGTCAGCATGAAGCCCAGTGCAGGGCTCTATCCCATGACCATGAGATCTTGGTCTGAGCTGAAATCAAGAGTTGGATGCTCAACTGACTGAGCCCCTGAGGCGCACTTGTTTTTATATCTTGTGGAGGTATAGTAGTTTTGTTTATTAAACATTTTTTTAATGTTTATTTTTGAGAGAGAGAGACAGAGTATGAGGTGGGGAGCGGCAGAGTGAGAGGGAGACAGAGGATCCCAAGCAAGCTGGGCACAGGTAGCAGTGATCCTGATGTGGGGCTCTGACTCACGAACCATGAGATCATGACCTGAGCCAAAGTTGGACACTCAACCGACTGAGCCACCCAGGTGTCCTGTTTATTAAAACGTTGTTTGGAGATACTCTTTAAAGTTTGTAAATAACCCATTTGAAAATGGTTGTCCTTTAAATGTTTTTTTCTTTACTAACAAATAAAAAGTAATACTTTAAACATGTAAGAACTGGTGATCAATTTTTATGGTACGTACTTTAGACCTGACAACATGAAATAATTTTTTTTTTTTGAAAGACTTTAGGTAAAGTTGGCCGAGTACAACAGATTTATTCAGACAGTGATTTAAAGGTGGAAGTTTGTGGAACATCTTGGACATATAATCCAGCAGCAGTTTCCAAGGTGGCGTCTGCTGGATCAGCCATTAGCAATGCATCTGGTGGTATGTTTGTATCATGTTTCTTTAAAAGAAATTAGAAGTAATATGGTTTACATTAGAACCTTTGCTAATTCCTCAGTTCTCATGTACAGATAATGTCATAGATAACCTCACTTGAATGTTAACTAACGTCTACATTTCCACTACAGGTTTGTTTGTTTTTTGTTTTTTTTTTTCATATATTGAACAGTTTTTGCTCTGACTGAGGTATGCCCTCGAAAATTTCCATAAATAGGTGCTTTATATCAAGGGTTAATTCAACATTGTACTCTTTAGTCAGAACTTTTGTTTTCTGCCAAAGAAACATCACTTTCTTAGACTGTTTTATTTTCTTTTTATTTTCAAGTTATTGCTAGCAGATGGCTTTCTTCCTGGATATTTTTATATATCAGCCATATTTCTTCCTTACTGTTTAATAAGAGTTGTTTTACATGCCACAATAAGTAGAAAATCATTTTGAAATGTGAATAAGCAGGATGCCTGTGTAGACTCATGCCCAAAGTCTTTCTTTCCTGTGCTCCAGCTTTATATACATAGCCTCAATTCATTCTAAAACAAATTATAAGTTACTGTGTATTGTTATTCAGGATAGAAGATTGAACCGTAGCTATAAATTCTAAGAAAATAAAAGAAAACATTGGGCGACCTTTTATTTTATTTTATACTGCTTTCTACTTACTCTGCTGCTGTCTTTTCTTTCCTGTTGTACTTTGTTAGTGTACTTAAAGTTTAAATTAGGTGGTGTTTATTTTTACCTTTTGGTTAGATGGCATCATAGCCAATTGACTACCTACAAATTGAAAGATTGAGGGATGGTTAATATCCTACTCAAATAATTTGCACTTGGTGGTGGTCCTCTGCCCCACTTGGTGATTTCTTTGCTTTCTAAGTAGATCTAAGAATTAAGGGATAGAACTGGGTAATGTCTCTACTGATAAATGGTACTTAGAAAAAAAATATCTTATGAAAGTAAGTCTATATAAATATGTCCCTAGTTGTTTTTTCTGTTAGTACCAATCACCTGGCATCAGTTGATGCCTGTTGAAGTATGTTGTTAGCACTTAGATGACTTACTTTTAACTGAAAATTGGTTTGTCTCTAAAACATTCTCCCAAATATTATAGAGTACATTGCTTCTGAATCATAATCATTCATTTGTTTATTCTAAGGTCTGTAGCATTGAGCTCTGAGAATAGATGTGGTATGCTTAAAACCTGAAAGTTTGTATTGTTATGATACTCCCATTGTAGTGTATTTGTGATTATCTTTGGTATGGCTTCTAAATCTTGAATTGTTACTTGTATGTAATTCTCTACTATTTCTGAAGTTATAACTTGAAATACATGCATCAGAGAAAACTGGGAATACTTATGGGTGGGAATTTAATGCAGCTTTCTATGGTAGTAATTATAACTTGACAGGGTAATATCTGTAGTATAGTACAAAAATAACATTGATGGTAGAAATAATGAAAAAGGAAAAGTATGTATTCTATATATATGGGTAATGCTTGTCTGTTCATAGTTAAGGTTTGAGATCCTCCTATGTTAGCAGCTTTATTTGATGCTTTACAGAAAGACTCTCCCAACTCTTGAAGAAATTATTTGAAACCCAAGAATCTGGTGACCTCAATGAAGAATTAGTTAAGGCTGCTGCCAATGGAGATGTTGCTAAAGTGGAAGATTTGCTAAAAAGACCAGATGTGGATGTGAGCATTTTAAAAATTATTTGAAGCATACACAAAAATAGAATAGTATAATGAACATTAGAAATTTCCAGAAATTTCTAGAAATTTCAATTAAGTTCAATTAAGATTTTTCCAAATGTGCTTCATCTGTTCCTTCTTCCTTGTTTTTCTGAGGTATTTTAAAGAAACTGGACATCATTCTTCAGTATCTTTTCTAAAAGATATTGACATTTTATTTTAACACTGTTACCTCCTAAATTTATGATTGATAATTTTTACATTTAGGTTTTTTAAATAGTGTCCTTTTGGGAAATTTAGTGAATTTTTTTCATGATAATATCATCCCTCTTTTCAGAACATTTAATAACTAAATTAATTTAATTAACCTGAACTTTTTTTCCTATGAGAATTGACTTATAGTTTATAATGGAGATGTAGTAGAGGTTATACATTTTGTAAATCTTAGTAGTTTATTATATACTACCATTCACATAAGGCATATTTTAGGTGGGCCATGTTGATTCTAGTGTAGTCATTCATTGGCTTTGCCATTGCTCCCATGTTAGCACCAATGTGATGTTCAATGCTGGCCCAGAGATTGTGGTTGGAGTGGCACTTTGAATCATTGTCACTGTTTGTTGCCTATGTATGCAAGTATGCTATACAGTTTGAAGAAGATCTGATCTATAATTGTAAGATACAAACATTATATATATTCCCAGGAGCTCATGTGGCATTTCCCAGGAGCTCATGTGGTTTATTAGGGAGATGTCAATTGCAGCAGCACAGCACAGTGAATCCCCCTCCCCCCATTTTTAAAATTTATTTATTTTGAGAGAGAGAGGGTGAGAGAGATTCCCAAGCAGGCTCCACACCACCAGCACAGAGCCTGATGCGGGGCTTGAACTCAGGAACTGCGAGATCATGACCTGAGCTGAAGTTGGACACTCAAGTGACTGAGCCACCCAGGCGCCCCAACACAGTGATTTCTTTATTGTGAGATAAATCACAAATAATTTGTTTCAGATATTAAATTATCAAATGTTTTTTGTATATGTGCTGCCGAAGCGAGCACTAAAGTATCAAATGTTTTTTGTGTTTGAAAGATAGATTCCTTTTATGTTCAGCCAAGCAGATTTATAATTTACTATACTTAATTTTTTTTTTCATTTAATCTTAATTTCTCTTTTTTAAAGCAATATATTCTAAAAATTTAAAGGGAAAAAATAGTTTACAAGGTTTGTTACAAAAATCATCTTCTCTATTTTCCCATCCTTCAGGGGCAGCTGTTTGCACGTCTTTCAGCTGATTTTCTTCATGTATTTGCCTCCATCTCTTCCAATAACATACAAAAATGTTACAAAAATTTTTGTTACAAAAATCATCTTCTCTATTTTCCCATCCTTGAGGGGCAGCTGTTTGCAAATCTTTCAGCTGATTTTCTTCATGTATTTGCCTCCATATCTTCCAATAACATACTTCTATTGTTTTTTCTTGATTTTTATGTTTTGGGAGTTATCTTTTAATACTTCACTATGAAAATGAGGATTCAGCTTTCTTTCCCACCTCCAGCCCATTCCCTCCACACACATACACATTCCTCCCAGCTTCTTTATGTGGTTAGATTGTATTATAATTTTGTTAAGATTAAAATTAACTGTGTATGTTATTATTTAAATGACATTCATATCTGAGCTGTGGATGATGCTAGATTGTATTTTCCTATACAAGTGTTTGCTTTCCTTGCTGTTCATAATTGATTTTTTAATAAAAAAAATTGAGGTGTAATCTACATATAGTGAAATATGTGGATAAATTTTGACAGATTCATACATTCATGTAATTCACACCCCTATTAAAATGTAGGACATTTCCTTTATTCCAGAATTTCACTTGTTTTTCCCAATCCAGAAAGTTCACTTGTCATATTTTCCAGTCAGTCCCTGTTAACTTCACACATAAAGATTTTTTCATTTGTTTCTAATTTATATTGTTATAATTAATTCTTTTCCATACTTCTAACTGACTAATCATCCAAGACATTTAGTTATGTCAGGTATATTCATTTCATCTTCTGAGAGATGATAACCTAGGAGAAAGACATGGGCTTTTTTTAAGTTAATTTTTTAATTTGAGGTCTCCCACAAATCTCCAATCCTTGGTTGTCCAATTCATATCCAAATAAGACATTAAAAAGCTGATTGGTGCTCTCTTTGCTTGGATAGGACCTAGTGACTGACTTAGTATTGTGGTGCTTGTGTGTGTGGAGCTTTTGGGATCTCTAAATGCTATCATGTAGAGGTCTGTTCTTCATTACTATTCAGTTGTTTAAGGGAAGAAACCATTTTTCTGTCTAGGGACTAGATGCATGGCAGTTAATGCTGTGTCATTGAGTTTGAGGAGAGGGTCTGGAGTGTGGCTATTGCCTATCAGACTTAAACCTGGGGTTTTTCTTCTTAGCCCTCTGATGTGCTTGTTTTTGCAGGCTTTGACTTTGCCTGAAGTTCCTAGGTTTTGTATTCCTTTTCTCTGTAAAGTCAGTTAGAACTTCTCTGTCTGCTTTCTCTCTTTCAAAAATGTGTTGCTTTTATTGTTTTCTGATGTTAGCTCTCCCTTTCTATTTGTCTTTATGTCTTTTTATGTTTTTAATTATTTTACTGTCTTTTTAGTGTAGTCTGAGGAGAAATAGGATATAAACATGGGATCAGGCTACCATTTTTCACCATATTTTATGGTTTTGTGGATAGGGTGGGATTAAGGAATTGTACTTAATCTCAGGTATATCATTGGGAAATTATGCATTTATATAACATCTGAAGTAAAGATAGGAAATTATTGCTTTATAATATAATAGTTGTATATAGCTATGCTGCTAATTCATTTATTTTTCAAGATAGTTTGCTTACTGTTAGTATTCAATATCTTTGTCAAATTGAATTTATTTATATAGTAGGCAGTATCTTTTCTAAAGGTTTTTTACTCGTTTTTTTTTCATTTGAAACATACTCTGAACTTTAATAATTCAAATAGAAGTGAATATACGAAACTAAAATGACATTTCTCCCTCCCTTCCTTTCTTTTTTCAACTTTTCAGATTGGCTAAAATGATTCTTTAATAGCTCTTTGAACAGTGGAACTTTAGTCTTTTAAAAAAAATGCCTGCCTCACTTCTAAATTACAGAAGAGTTTCTCGTGGTCTGTACTAGGATTATATGGAACGCTAACCTAAATTATTTTCAGAGAATCCTACAGTGTGCTAGATTTAAACCATATATTGACTCTTTGTGATTTATGACATTTCTTCATTCTTTTTTTTATATATAGGTAAATGGACAATGTGCTGGTCACACAGCTATGCAAGCTGCTAGTCAGAATGGACATGTTGATATTTTGAAATTACTTTTGAAGCAAAATGTGGATGTAGAAGCAGAGGTAATTAAACTAACCTTGAAACATACTAGTAAAAATTAATGTCCTAGAAATTGTACTTCTATATTATAAGATGGATTGCTTTCATTCCAAAAATTTAATATTCACCTAAGGCGCTTCTGATTGAAAAGAAAAATTTGACAAGAGATAACTTAAAGCATTTCTAGTTTTTCTTTTGATTCTTCAATATTGTAGGCATAACCCTAAGTGAAGATAGGAGTTGAGTTTTCCTTTACTATAGTAGTACCACCATGCTGCTGGGAGCACAGTTGGATTCATCCAAGAATCATACTGAGGAGGTTGAGGGAAGGGCAACATATAAATCGTGTATCTATACAGTAAAAATCAAGATTTTTACTGATCTGTAACCCTTAGAGGCCTTTCTTTACTTTTTGTTTTCCCTCTCATAAGAGAATCAGTAATTCAGAACTTGTTTAGTTTTACTCTTTCCTGACTTTAATGTGGATCTTTGAAAATTTTACAGTGCATGTTTATCACTATATATGTGTGTATATATATATGCTTAATTTAATTCAGAGTATATTCTCTTAAAAGGGAAATGAGTATTTTTTACTATCATTGGAATTTTAATTGAGAATCTGTATGTGGTGTGAAGGATAGTTAACTATAACCTTAAATATTGAAAAAATATTAAAATCAAATCTCTTTTAGTTTAGTGAAAGATTATTTAGGAATAAGTAAAATTCTATCAAATTTAGACTAGGTAGAATGTTGTAATTTTGTCTAAAGGATACTACCACTTAAGGAAGCTATTTAATAAGGACTTGAATTTCTGAGGGCTAAGTTAGTAGACCAGCCTATTTACTAATTAAAACATTTTAAAGATATATATTTGAAAAGAGACTAACTCTTAAGTTATTTTTGCTTTTTTCTCAGATTGAATATTTTGACAGCTACTTTTTTTGACAGTTGACAGCTACTATAAAGAATCATTGGTGTTATAGTTGTAAATATGTGATTTTTGATGTTGGAATTTTCTGTTGTCTAAAAAAAAGTTGAATTTTAAATTAGCATGTAGATGTTTATCAAGTATATGATAGTTTCATTATTATCATGTTTTTATGAATGAGATTATATGGTTTGATTTTGCTTTCACAGTAGCAATTTTTAAGTCACCTCTTTCTTGGTTGTAAATTTAGGAACACAGTATTACAAGGTTTTTGTTTTGTTTTTGTTTTTTGGTAATGAAAGAGAGAGTTTAAATGTCGTGTTTTGTAATTGGAAGACAGATACTGTATTATGTTATTGTTTTAGTCTGTCTTGGGGAAATAGAATGAAATTCCCTGAGTTGAATATCCCATTTTTTTATTTAAGGAATCCAGAAACTACAATGGCAACAACTACTAAGAAACCAAAGCTCTTCTGATTATAATACTAAGCAAGAGGCCCAAAACCAAATTTTTTACCTCTTTTGTTATAAAATGTGCTCTCTGATTCAGAATTTAATAATAAACCTAACAACATAGGACTATCTAGCCATTTGTGTTTCTAAAGACTTCTTGTTCACTTAGAGGTTGTGCACAAGGGAGGTGCAGCTGTGGGATTGGGAACAAACTGCACTGTTCCTCAATTGAACTCAAATACAAAACAAATGGTTAGTTAATACTGTAAACCTGGTGAGATTGGAGTCAGAGTGTGGCTCAGTAAGCTAAAAATTTACAAATAATTTCTTTGAGAGAGTTTGAAAACCATGTCACCAGATTAGTGCGATACATGTGGACTTCTACCATACCTCCTCATTTGAATTTCCATTCTGTGCATGTTCTGTTTTAAAAACCATTGCAGGCAGATGTAATTTGTAGAAATAGTGTGAGAAAAGACTATTTACACATCAGATTGAATTCATATCAGTTTTCCAATTGCAAACAAAAACCAAATTTAAAAATTGGGTTAAAATATAAATACCAGTTCATAGCCTAAGACTAAAACAAAACATCCTCAAAGTCACATTCTAGAAAGAATGCAAAAATCTATTAGAAACAGCAGTATAATTTTTTTTTTTTTTTTAAGAACAGCGGTTCTCAACTGGAGGCATTTGTGTCCCATGGGGGACATTTGGAAATGTCTGGGAACATTTTTGATTGTCACAACTGGTAGGGGTGTGTGTGGTGGTTGGGGTACTACTGGCATCTAGTGGGTAGAAACTAAGGATGCTACTGAATATCCTATAGTACACAGGACAGCCTCCACAACAAAGAACTGTCTGGCCCCAAATGTAAATAGGACCAAAATTGAGAAACCCTGGTTTAAAAGATGGAGAAAATAGTTTATTGTACAAATGCACTTAAATTTGTGATTCATCATTTGTCATTATTAATTTTTGATTGAAAATTTTAAATATTTATAAAAGAATAATATAATGAATCCATTACCTGACTTCAGTTATTTTTCACAACCAGTTTTGATTTATCTGTACTCTCCCCCTCTCTGCTCCCTCAACTGAATTATACTAAAGCAGATCTAGATTTTTTAAACTTGATTATACCATTACCCAATGTAAAAGCAATAATAATTAACAGTTTTTTATTTTAATTTTTTATTTATTTTTATTTTTTCAATGTTCATTTATTTTAAAAATTTTTTAATGTTTTCTTTATTTCTGAGAGAGAGGGAGACAGCGTGAGCAGGGGAGAGTCAGAGAGAGAGGGAGACACAGAATCCGAAGCAAGCTTCAAGCTCCGAGCTAGCTGCCAGCATGGAGCCTGATGCGGGGGCTCGAACCCACGAACTGTGAGATCATGACCTGAGCCGAAATTGGACACTTAACTGACTAATCCACCCAGGTACCCCAAAAGAAAAAAAAAAAAGATCAGGGAGCCTGGGTATCTGTTAAGTGTCTGACTCTTAATTTCAGCTCAGGTCATGATCTCAGAGTTGTGAAATTGAGCCCCACATTCAGCTCTGTGCTGGCAGCGTGGAGCCTGCTTAGGATTCTCTTTCTCCCCCTCTCTCTCTGACCCTCTCCTGCTTGTGTATGCACTCTTAAATAAACATTAAAAAAAAAAGACTCAGATTATTAAAAGAAGAAATTAAAGTGGGGACATTACCAATTCTATAGAAATGGAAAGGTTTATAAATGAGTAAAGAGTTGTGTGTCAACAAATGGGATAACCTAGATGAACTGGAAAAATACCTACTAGAAACACAAACCTGCTAAAACCCAATCATGAATATATAGGAAATCTGAATAGACCTATAGCTAGTAAGAAGATTGAATCAGTAATAAAAAAAAAAAATCTCCTGACAAAGAAAGGCCCTGGATCTGATTGATTCATTGGTGAACTCTACCAAACATTTAAAGAGCTAAGACCAGTTGTTCTCAGATTTTTCAAAAATATCAAAGAGGAGAGAACACTTCCTAACTCATTCTATGAAGCTAGCTTTACCCTGATGTCATAGCCAGACCAAGATATTATAAGAAAACTACAAACCAATGTCCCCTGTGAAGAATGATATAAAATTCCTCAACAAAATACTAACAAACCAGATTCAGCATATTAAAAGGATTATACACTGTGATCAAGTGGAATTTATTCTTGGACCAAAGAATGGTTTAGCATACAAAAATTGATCAATGTGATAGCATTACATTAACAAAATGAAGGGAGAAAGCAATGTGACCATCTCAGTTGGTGTAGAAACATTTGATTAAATTCAGTACCCTTTTATGATTTTAAAAAACCCCAGAAAACTAGGAATAGAAGGAAACTACCTTGACATAATAAAAGCCATATATGAAAAACTGAAAACTTGTCCTCTAGGATTAGGAAAATGGTAAGGATGCTTGCTTTTCCACTCATATTCAATGTGTTACTGGAAGTCCTAGCCAGAGTAATTGGCATGAAAAAGAAATAAAAGTCATCCATATTGGAAAGGAAGAAGTAAAATTATCTCTGCAGATTATGTGATCCTTATATGTAGAAAACTTTAAAGTTCCACACAGAAAATTTGTAGAACTAATTAAGATATTCAGCAAAATAGCAGGATACAAAGTCAACATACAAAAGCTAGTTGCATTTCTGTTACACCGACCAGCAACAATCAGTAGAGGATATTAAGAAAACAACTCCATTTACAATAACATCAGAAACAATTAGGAATTAATGTAACCAAAGAAATGAAATGCAATGAAAACTACAAAATACTGCTGAAAGAAATTAAAGAAGACTTAGGCAAATAGAAACATATGTTCATGGATTGGAAGAATTTGTATTATGATGTCAGTACTGTCCAAACCAATCCACAGATTCAGTACGAACCTTGTCAGAATAGCAGTGATTTTTTTTTTTGTTTCTGGTAGAAATGGAAAAATCCATTCTATAGATCAGTATGTCATCTCAAGATACCCCGAGATAGCCAAACCCATCTTGAAAAGGAATAAAAAATCTGGAAGACTCATTTTTCCTGATTTCAAAATTTACTACAAAGGTACAATAATCAAAACTGTTTGGTACTGGCATGAAGACAGATATATAACCCAAATGGAACAGAATAAAGAGTCCAGTAATCCTTGCATGCATGGTCAAATAATTTTTGACAAGGGTGCCAGTGGTATTCAGTGAGAAAAGGACAGTCTTTTCAACAAATGGTGCTGGGTAAACAGGTTATATCTATGTACAAAAGAATGAAGGTGGACCCTTATCTTACCATCTACAGATATTAACTCAGTAGGTCAAAGACCTAAATGCAAAACTTAAAAGTATACAACTCACAGAAGAAAACAGGGCAAAGCTCATAACATTGGATTTGGCAATGATTTGTTAGTACATGCAACAAAAGAAGAAATAGGCAAATTGGACTTCATGAAAATTGAAAAATTCTGTGCACCAGAGGACACTAATAATCATGAAAAGGCAACCTACAGAATATGGGACAGTACTGGCAAATTGTCTGATAATGGGTTGATATCCAGATGTATGGAGAATACTTAAAACTTAACAATAACAAAACTTGATTCAAAACTGGGCAAAAGGACTTGAATAGACATTTCTCCAAGGAATATATATGGATGGCTCATAAGCACTTGAAAAGATGCTGAACATCACAAATCATTAGGGAAATGTAAATCAAAACTGTAATGAGATACTACCTTACACCTAGTCAGATGGCTACTGAAAAAAAAAAAAAAAAAAAAGCCAAACAGAAAATAAGTGAGGATGGGAAGAAATTGGAACCCTTTGGGGCTGTTGGTGAGGATGTGAAATTGTATGGCTGCTGTGGAAAATAGTATGGTGATTTGTTAAAAATAGAATTACCATATGATCCAACAATTCAGTTTCTAGGAATATACCCACAAGAATTGAATGTATTGTCCTAAAGAGATTTTTATATCCATGTTTATACCATTATTCACAGTAGCTAAAAATAGGAAGCAACCTAAGTATTCTTGATTTATGAATGGCTAAACAAAATGTAGTATATACATAAAATGGAGTATTATTTACTTAAAAAGAAAGGTAATTCTGACTCCTGCTACAGTGTAGATGAACCTTGAAGACATGATGCTAAATGAAATAAGACAATTGCAAAAATCCAAATAGAAGTACCTAGACTAGTCAAAACCATAGAGACAGAAAGTAGAATGATGGTTTCCAGGTGTAAAAGGTGTAGTTTTAGTTTTACAAGATGAAGGGTTCTGGAGATGGATGGTGGTGATAGGTGCATAACAATATGAATATTTTTAATATCACTGAACTTAGAAATGGTTACGATGATAAATTTTATGTTACATGTATTTTGCCACAATAAAAATGTGGTTCATCCTGGGAATAAAGATGGCAAAGATACAGTTGTAGCCCAAAAAAACCTCACAAATAAAAATGATGTACTTGAAAGGGGCCTGAGTGGTTCAGTTGGTTAAGCACCAACTTCTGGTTTCTGCTCAGATCATGATCTCACTGTTTGTGGGTTCAAGCCCAGCATTAGGGTCTACACTGGCAGCACAGAACCTGCTTGGGATTCTGTCTGCTCCTGCCCCACTTGCACTTTCTCTCTCTCTCTCTCTGTGTCAAAAATAAAAATAAATAACCATTTTAAAAAATGACTTACTTGGAAACAAATAATTTTACTACCTATAATGATAATAAGATTTTGTGAGAGGGAAAGTTTCATAGGAGAGGGAGAGGTTGCCTGAGCTGAATTGTAAAGGATACCTGTTCTCAAGCCAACAAGGTGATGAATCAGAGCACTGAAGTCTGGAGTGAAGTATATGAATATAGGGGGTCAAATAAGTTGGTAAGTTAGAGTTTTATATGTGAGGCAATGATGGCAGCAGATGAGTATGATATGGTCCACAGAAGTAGGTTTTAAAACACGTTTGTTATTTATATGGTAGGGTTACATTAGAGTTTTAAACATAGATTTTGTACTTTACAGAGGGAAGTGTGTGTGTGTGTGTGTGTGTGTGTGTGTTTGAGAGAGAGAAGAATTGATTGGGGTAAGATACAGTGGAGGCAGGGTAAGCTGTTGCAATAAGTTAGGTGACTGAGAATCAAGAGCTAAAGTAGTTAGTGGTAGGACTGGAGAAGAGAGAAGAGATCTGAATGTAAATTAAAACAAGCGTAGAATTTTGTGCTTGTATATTTTGTGTGTCAGGGAGAAGTAGATGAGCATAACTTACAGATACTGATTTTGTTGACCATATGGTTTGTGGTTCCATCAGCTAACCTAGGGAATGAGAGCAGATCAGAGGAAAGGGGAATAAGAGGGTAGAAAGACCCAAGATCAGATTTAATTTGAGGTCCCTGCACAAATCCTTTCAGATAACCTTATTGAGATCAGCTGTGATACTGCCCCTCAGCATCTCATTTGGTGCCAGTATGGGAGACATAATAATGAGCTTCTATTAGGTGTATTTGAAATACTTAAGATGGATTCAGAAGACAGCAACAAAACCTATTAAAGTTTTTGTGCAGCTGAGGTTTTTTATTTGGAAAAAAGCAAAATAATTGTTTTCTACTGTATGTAGTTTCCAAAATGTTTGTCTTATGTATATTTCCTTTTGACATATACGTTAAGATTTTTAATTTTTTAGTGTTTTTTTTTTCATGTAAATAAAGTGTTGACCCGAGTAACAGTGTTTCAGTAACAGCTTTCTAACAATGATAAACATCTGGTACATTTCATAAATAGTTCCTGTTTTTATTCAGTGAGTGTTAGTGGATTGATGTTATTTTTAACAGAAGGAGAACCACTTAAATTGGCTTAAAAATTATAACAAAAAATAAATCTAAATAAATTGCAGGGTAGGAAGAGCCTACATCTAAGATTCTGAAACATAATGCTACTAGAGAGATTCATGTCTCTGTCTCTGTCACACACACACACACACACACACACTCAATTTTCTTTTGTAAAAAGCTGGTTTCCCTGGGTTGTTTAAATACAATGCTCAGAGGCACATGAGTTGAATCAAATCTTTCATGTGGTAGCCTGCCAGTTCCTTTATGCTCCAGGTTGACATTGAACAAAAACTAGTTTGGCTTAGCTAGAATATTAGTAAGGTAGGAGTACTGCTGAGTCATAGTTTCCTACATTTCCAAGGGTGAATGTCAAATTGTTGTGGACCCCTACACCAGCGGTTTGACTTTAATTCTGTCTCAAAAAATATTCTAAGGCTAAAACCTGTTTTGAATTCAGCAACTGTTTTGAATGAACTGTTGTTTTGTTTTTAATTTAAATCTTTGAAAAGTAGTTCAAATAATGCCAAATACCATATGGATTTTCAAACCACTTGCTAAAACTAGACTCGATGAAGAGGTAGGACTGGGTTGAGAACCATTGCTTTGGAGAAGGTCTTAGAGCATGCTTACTTTTGGGTGTCAAAATTTGAGATGTAGTCTGAAATAAAGATAGTATCCTTATAATACATATCTCCATCTGCATCTAGCATAGTAATGGGACTTCCTTTTTAGTGTAAACTGTGTATAGTATCTTCATGGTACAGTATGGACATTTTTTCCCCTTTAAAAAGTAGTTTTCTATATTTGAAAAAAATTCAGTAGTTGGGTCTTTTTCTACCTCTCATCTCAAGAAATATGCCTATTATAAAAGGTAAAACATTAGGGGTGCCTAGATGGCTCAGTTGGTTAAGCATCAGCTCATGATTTCAACTCAGGTCATGATCTCGCCATTCATGAGAGTGAGCCCCATGTGGGATGCTGTGCTGATAGAGTGGGGCCTGCTTGGGATTCTCTCCCTCCTTCTCTCTCTTCCCCTACCCTGCTCATGCATGCCTTCCTCTGCCCCAAATAAATAAATAAACTTAAAAACAAGGTAAGGCATACCTACTGGATTCATCTGAAATAATTTTTGATTTTGGATATATCAAGTTATGCTGATTTGTGTTTCATTTTTATCTTTTCAGGTAGTATTTAAATTTTTTCTGTTCTTGAATATACAGAAAAATGTATTCTCACTAGCCAGAGATAACCAATGTTAATATATTGATATATTTCTTTCAAAGTTAGTTGAGATCACGATTTGGCATTCTTTCTTCTTTTTAAATCGTTCCACTAGTACCTATACAATTTTTATGTCATTTTAAAAGGCTTTCTAAAATTTTTTAAATGGAAAAAAGGTTTATAAATAGTTGTCTCATAATTTAACATTTTCCTAATGTTGGCATATCATCATTATTGTTAACTTAGGAGTAATGAAAGATCAAACCACTTCTGATAAAAGTATTGGTCCACTATATATGTGATACAGTGTATTGATCCAGGTTCATCATTTCTCTTTGGAGTTAATCACTGTTCAAGTGAATTTCTAGTTATTTTATTGGCTCTGTTCTGTGTAACCTTTTCTCACATTAATCTGGTTCTTGATGAATTATTATAGCTTCAGGTATAGTTTTTATTTCTAAAATAATTCACTCACTAATTCAGATTTAAATGATGATGTTCAGGATAAAGATGGAGATCGAGCTGTTCACCATGCAGCTTTTGGAGATGAAGGTGCTGTTATAGAAGTCCTGCACCGGGGCAGTGCTGATTTGAATGCTCGCAACAAGCGCCGCCAGACACCACTTCATATTGCTGTCAATAAGGGCCATCTTCAGGTCGTGAAGACTTTATTGGACTTTGGCTGTCATCCTAGTCTCCAGGTAAAATCTTTAATGAAGAATATTCTGTAGGCATTGCTAGGATTCTGTTAAAGGGAAGTACTAAATTCTGTGGTAAGCATTCCTTTGTTACCAGTTTGTATATGATGGGTCATAGTATATGATACCAAAGGCATAGAATGTGATAAAATTGGCAGCTGTTCCTTCTTAGAAAAGCCTTTTTAAAGAAAATGTCAGTAGATTGATTTTATATTGGAGGGTGAAGATGGGGTCTTCTTACAAATATAAAAGATTATGAATTGATTTAATTTTATTGATCATGATAGTGAGCTTTTGTAGCTTAAGGAAGTGTAATAGGCTACATTTCATGATGCTTTATAACTATCTAAATTATTTTAATTGTAGCTTAATTTATCTTAGAGTCTTAGTCTATTCGTTAGCTGAGGAAGATTTTCTGTTTTGGAAAATATACAGGGCTTTAGGGTTGATTTACAGTAGAACCTAATTTTTGAGGCAAGAATCACCTAAGAGGTAGGTGAGTCCTGTCCACAGTTTTAGTAACCAGATGGATTAGATTGGATAAATGTCTGAGAAGAAATAAATAGGAAAAACAGGAGTAATGGGACTGGAGGTTTGAGAACTGAAAGAATTGGAGATTTTGTTCAGCTCGATGGTTCTCAGAGACTGATATATCTGAGGCACAGCATTTTGGCACTGACAGGGTTTGGAACTTAGACCCTCTAAGTGGATGGCAGAATTGGAGGATGGGGGAAGAATTAGAAAGTGTTAATCTGTTGATAGAAAGATAACTTGTACTTACTGATTTTATTTGGTCTGAAATGGGAGGGAAAGTCATCTGTTGAAAGTGAATGGGCAATAGTAGTAGGCATAGAAAAGGTAACTGAGAAGAGTGATGAACATTTGGAATAGCTATTGTGGGGACCAGAAGGTATGACTTAACAGGGCCTGTAGAAGCTTATTCCAACCGTGTTAAGAGCCTAGCTGAAGTTGAAAACTATGGATTTTTAGTGTCACTAGAAAGGAGGATAGAAAATGGATGCTTGGATTGAACTTGGGTTAGGAATCTGTTAGGAGGGTACATGAGTATATGCCTGGGATTGTCCAATTTTTTCTCTAAGGACCTTATGATAATTTAGGCTTTCATTATAGTTTCTATAATGACTATCTAGTGCTGCAATTATAGCGTGAACACAGCAGCCATTGATAATACATAAATGACTGTGTGTAGCTGTGTTCCAATAAAACAATTTACAAAAACAGGTGGCAGGCTGGATGTAGCAACCATGGTTTATGCCATAGGTATGATTTCACATTTATGAAGCTATGAAAAGAATGAGGTCTAAATTACCCATTTATGCAGATAACTGATAATGAATAATAACTTACTGCTAAGTCAGTTAATTAATGAAAAAAGTAGTCAGCTTGAAAAAAAGGAAGACCACTAAATTTTCTTTTACATTTGTTTCTATTTTGATTAACTAACTGCTTTTCTGCCCTTTGCAAACATCTAGATTAATGATTTTCACCCATGACTATACAATATACTCTGAAAAACTACTAATGGTTGGGTCTCACTCCTAGAGATTCTGGTTTAGTTGGTCTGGAGAACAGCCTGGGTATCTTTTTAAGAGATTCCCTACAGATTCTAAATGTGCAGCCAAGGTTGAGAACTACTGATTTTTAATTTATTGCTATAGCACACCAAGACTGATGTGAGTTTGTTTTGAAGTTTCAGGCATAACAATTACTGGTAGGAATGGGTATAACCAGCTGTTTTAAACTAATGAATTTTGGGGGCAACTTTTTCACTTCATTACTTTTTATAATTAGCTGAATCTGGGGCACCTGGGTGGCTCAGTCAGTTGAGCCAGGTCACGATCTCATGATCCGTGAATTCGAGCCCCACATCGGGCTATGTGGGGCTGACAGCTAGCTCAGAGCCTGGAGCCTGTCTTCAGATTCTGTATCTCCCTCTCTCTCTCTCTGACCTTCCCAGCTCATGCTGTCTCTCTCTCTCCCAGAAATAAATAAAACCGTTAGGAAAAAACTTTATAATTAGCTGAATCATACTTGAAGGTACTTTTTAATTTTATATTTCCTTTTTTTTGGTAGATTATGTGTTCATTAGATTTTCCATCTAGATTGAGTATGAGTTTATTTAATATAATGAGACTAATATTTCTTGCCTGCATCTTAAAATTTAACATAGGATGTTTTATTGATGGTTTTAGATTTGGCTTCTGTTTAGTAGTTTGGTATATGTATTAATATTACATATGATGTTTGGTCCAAGAACTAATGAAAGTCTCTTTAAATTTAAAAAAAAGGATTCTGAAGGTGATACCCCTCTTCATGATGCAATAAGTAAGAAACGTGATGACATCCTGGCAGTTCTTCTAGAAGCTGGAGCAGATGTAACCATTACAAACAATAATGGATTTAATGCTCTACACCATGCTGCACTAAGAGGAAATCCCAGGTAAAGAGCTCACCTTTTACTGTTTTATATGCAGTTTAAAAATATTTTCATAGTGCTAGTTCTCTTTTTCTGATACTGATGAGGAAATAAGGACTTATTTTAGTATTTGACAAATCATTTTAAGGTCTGTAGAAATTATGTCTTCACTAATAGTTTTATATTATATTTTGGTTGTTAAACTAATACAAGTGGGTGCCTGGGTGGCTCAGCCATTAAGCATCTGACTTTGGCTCAGATCATAATCTCACAGTTGGTCAGTTTGAGTCCTACATCAGGTGAGCTTGAGCCCTGCTTTTGGTAAAAACGGGAGCCCCGGGTGAGCCCTGAATCATTCTCTCTCTGCCTGTCTCTCCCTCTTCCCCCTCCGCCCTTTGGGGGATTCTCTCTCTCTGTTTTTCTCTCTGCCCCTTGTTCACTTGCACCCCCCCCAAAAACAAACAAAAACTAATACGATTATTATGAAATGGTTACTGAAATATACATTAAGTATGGATATAAAGTATCAAGAATACTTATATCTAAAGATTTAAGTTAAAATACCATTTTGAGATTTATGTCTCTAATTTAAGATCATTCTCAAGGTGCCCTCTCATCATTTGCATAATCATTTCTTTTAACTTGTGGCTAGATAACTGTTAAGTACCTAATTCCATATTAATAAGATAATTATATATGCTTCTGGTGAGGATATTCCCCAGCTGTTGTAACAATAGTGATGGGGAGTCTACCGAAAAAAATATTTGCTGGTTATCGTTTGAGAAAAACTTCTGGGAACTCACAGAACTCTTAAAGGATCTACAGAGTCTCACAGAATAAGAAAATGCTTTCTATGAATAAATTTTTGGGAACAACTTAACCTCAAGAAGCATTTTAGAAAATTCTGTATTAAAGATTTTCTGTTTATAGTTGAATTAAGCCTGCATTTCTTGACTAAGGGAGCTGTTCACTTTGAAGTTTATTTTGACAGTTTAATCTATCCTAAATTCTTTTTTTAAATTGAGATATAACTGACATATAACATTTTTAGTTTCAGTTGTACAATCTAATAATTTGATATATGTATATATTATGAAATTATTATGATAGTTCTGGTTAATATCCTTTACCACACATGGTTACAGATGTATTTTCCTGTGATAAGAACTTTTTTAAGATTTACTCACTTAGCAACTTTGCTAATATACAAAATTGTATATATATATAAATTGTAATATACAATACAGAATTACTAACTATATTACGTCCCCATGAATTCTTATCATCTGGTTCCGTATGGCATTTTTATATTGTTTCCTTCTAGTTTTTGTTTGTTATTTTTTGGCTTCTTAGGATCACCACTAGAGGGTGAGCACAGAGAACAAATGGATTTTACTGCTATTGCCCGTTGGTACTCTTAACAAGAGGTATATAATGTAGGATGAAACAAATGACCATGTTTTAAATTATGTTTTGATTTGTTTTTTAAATTACGAATATTTGAACACTTTGCACCTTTGGCATTGAGAAGGAGACAAAATGGTATGTTCCTGCCTTTTGAATAGAAGATGATGATGATAGTACTTACCACAGGCAAGGCCTCTACTAAGTGGTTTACATGCATTATCTCCTTTAATCCTTTCAACAGCTTTTTGAGACAGGTGTTAATATCTTCTCTTTGTAGATAAAGAATATTAAGTTTATAAAGAGGTGAATTTACTTATTCAAGATCTGGTGATCAATGGAGTAGCTAGAATTTGAGCAGGAATCTGACCTAATGATCATAGCTCTTAACCACCTTATATCACTTTTTCTGTATTAGGGTGTGTATGTGAGGCAAGACTGAAACACATGGACAGTGAATGATTTAACTAAGAATGTATTAATATATCACTCCCCTTCCTGCCTCTTTGCTTAGGGTTATCTTTGATACACTCTCACTAATTCTCAACTTCAATTAGTTCTCAAATTCCATTTATTTTACCAAGCTTTCCAATCTATTCCATTCTTCCTATTCTCATTGTTGCTGATCTAATTAAGTGCTCACCACTTTTACTTAAACTATTACAGTAGCTTTCTAATTGTTCTCTCTGATTTCAGTCTTATCTCTGATTGAACTTTTATCTGATTACCAACTTACCATTCTAAAGACATAGATATAATGGCTTCTCTTCCCTGTTCCCAAATCTTTATTTGCTTCCTATTTTACATAGAATAAAATTTATATACCTTGAACTTGACCTTTACACTCATTTTTGATGTGTCCTAAGCCTTTCTACCTTCATTTCCCACTAACTAAATCCCTCTTTCTGTCTTGCCCTTCAGCTATATTATGCTATACCATTTTTTGAAAATAGTTTGTCTACTTCATTTATTTAAGCATTTCCCTTAGTGAGAATGCCCTTGTCCCCCATCTTGATCTTCACCATCTTTTCCTTCAGAGCTCCTAGATCACATCATTGAAATTATTTTCCCTGCACTAACTTGTTCTTTGTTCTTATTTTATTGCACTTTATGTCTATTAATGTGGCATTTCTATATTTCTTTCTGTTAAATTGTGGGCACCCTTTTCATCTGTGTGTCTCCCACAATGCTTTTGACTATGCTAGGGACTTAATAAATGTTAGTCTTAATTTGACAATCAGGACAATGCTAGGTATCACAAGATGTTATATGATTAGGTACAGATTCTGTAGAGAAACTATTAGGGGTCAAACAGCAATTATTTCAGATTAAAATGGTTAAAAAGATTTAGTTGAGGGTATTTAGGTTATCATATTTAATCATAAAGTTTAAGAGAAACTGAAAATTGAAGTGTTTAGGAAATGAGTGATTTTTAAAATATTTTGAATTGTTTCACTTTACTGTGGGTAGGGTAGTATATTTAATGATGCTAGTAAGCCTATACAAGGAGGAGAGCATATACTACTTAACATGTCTTTAATTCTTATATAAATTTTGAAAATTTTCCTGAAAATTTGTAATAGTGACTCTTCCAACCAAATAATTAGTGTCAGGTGACATTTTAAAAAAGGGGAAAAAGCCATTTTTATTCTGCAATAAAGTGGTGCTCTGGTTAAAACAACATGACTTTTTTTATTCCTATTTATTTAAGATATTTCATGCAGTTGTGACTCTAGATTGCTGGATAAAGAGCATGATTCCTTTTTTTTAAAGGGTGGTCATGGGGAGTGGGAGATGGAGAGAGAGAATCTTAAGCAGGCTCAATGCCTAGCACCGAGCCCCACATAGGGCTTCATCTCAGGACTGTGAGATTGTGACCTGAGCTGAAATCAGGAGTCGAACCCTTAACTGACTGAGCCACCCAGGTGCCCCCCCAAAGAGTATGATTTTGCTTGGACATTGAAGAGTATCAGAAGATGACGCAACTTAGTATCAATTGACATTGCATATTGAGGTTGTTTTGAGGGTATTCTTCATATCAAATTTTTTATTCAAAAATATAAATTTTATATTTATATAAATGTCAGAAGACAGAATGAACCATTTTTGGTGTACTCAGAATTTTTTTAAAAGTCTTTGGCCTTGAGGCGCATGGGTGGTTCAGTCAGTTAAGTGTCTGACTTTGGCTCAGGTCATGATCTCACAGTTTGTGAGTTCGAGTCCCACATCAGGCTCTGTGCTGACAGCTCAGAGCCTGGAGCCTGCTTCAGATTCTGTGTTTCCCTCTCTCTCTGCCTCTGCACCGCTCATGTTCTATCTCTGTCTCAAAATAAATAAACATTAAAAAAAATCTTAAAAGTCTTTGGCCTTAAATTTATTTAAGGACACCAGACAATAGTAAATTATCATTCCCAGAAATTAGCATTTTTGAATAAAATATTAGATATGATTAGCATGTGTCAACATTTCCCCCCATTTTTGTGTTTTATGATTTATATAACTTAATGAATCTCTTACCTTGAATTATATAATATTTTTTCTTTGCAATTTTTGTTTTATAGTTACACTTCTTTGTATACTTGGCTTAATTGTTGGATTTTATGTATAGTCAGTTTTAATTGCAGTTGATGGTACTTTAGTAAAGTCTTAGCTAATTTGAGGTTTTTCTTTTATTAGAATGTTTATATTATTTCTACAGTCAGTTATTTACATCATTGTGAATGTAAATATCAGCACAAATAATTATGTCAATTTATTATGGTTAGTAATTTGGAAAAGTTTCCAGAATTTTTTATGTGCATGTATATACATGTGGGATTTAAGTAGCATACTATTCCTTAGCTTTGCCTTTAATAAGCAGTAATAATTTTTCAGCAATAAGCTAATACCACAGTAGAGTTAATTATTGGTTGTGCTTTTTTTTAAATAAATGTGACTTTCCTGGTTATCAAAAATATGTCTAGATGTCATATATTTTGGAGAATACACCTTGAAATCTGGATTTCAAAGTTCCAGATCAATATAGATTCTAGATTTTAAAGCTAATCTTGATGTTTCCTCCTGGTATAACAGTAACTGAAATAAAGACATTAAGAGAGAGCTATAAAGCCATTTCTTTTCTTTCAGAATTGAGGGAGACCATATAAGTTTTTACTCTGAGACACTGAGTATATCAGTGTCCTGGTTTATAAAATTTAAAAATTAGAATGGAGCAGTGTAGAATAGCAGTTACAATGTGTCTTAATATAGTATTTTTTAAAATTCAGGAATCTTAATTGAGATTAAACAGTGCTGTGTTTTTTATTTTTATAGAGAAGGAGAGTTTAGCCATATTATATACAGGTGAAATTTCAGATTTAAATGAACAGCAGAAATTATTTCTGTTGTTGAAAATGAAATTTCTTCTTAGTATTAATTAGCACATTACATAGGTACTTTCTGTGAAGGTGTTGCAATTTTAGCTGCCTTTAAATTTTTAGAGCTCCTTCTTAGGCGTGAAAATAAATTAGCAATATTCTTTGCAGAGCTGGCCAAAAACCAGCCAGGTGTTTTGGAGGTACTGATACCAGACAGATATTTTGGAGGCACTGTTAATAGTGTTATGAAGGTACCTTACCTAG